AGCCATGTTGGAACTCATAAATCTATTAAAGAGAAGAATCATGCTTTCCATTAGAACTAAGATCCCTGGAATCACAGATAAAAGTAGATAAGGTCACTGTTATAGCTACTTTATAGTGACATTGCTTCTACAAGCGCTATTTGGTATGGAAAGTTTGCTAAGTAGCCTCCTTAATCGAATAAGAAGTACCATTTGGTGAAATGTATTTCATGCTCGCATTCAATGAGTCAAATGGTTACCTATCATTACAACGAAAGATGATGAAGATAGATGAAACAAACTTGTGAGCTGAATTCAAAGTGTTGTAACGATCATCTTTTTCAAGCTACTATATTAGAAGATTCAAAGCTCAAGAAAGAAGAAAGAACATATATATAGATACACTTGTACAAAAACATATACTCTTTGAAAATTACACTTGTGTATAAACTTTATTCTTTATTGTAAAAGCTTATTGTTCTAGATTGGTTGTATAACACCTATCTGAGATGAACACAATATTTGTGTAACCTTCATAATCATTGTTATAAGATTGAGCTTAGAGAGGCTTGTTTGGAAAAGAATACTTGTTTTGAGCTTGGAGAGACTTGTTTAAAAAAGAATCTTTGTTTTGAGTTTGAAGATGCTTGAAAAGAAAACTTGGTTGTTAAGCTTGAAAAGGCTTATTGTTAAAAGAATACTTGGGTAGTTACTTGAAGAGGCAAGTCAAAGAATACTTTGAGTTGAGCTAGAAGTGACTTATTGAAAGAATATTTGTATCTTTGTTTAAAAATAGTAGAACTCAATCTAGTTTAATTAAGAATTAGATATAATTTTGGTGGTTGAGACAAACTAATATAAAAATATCTAGTGTTTCATTTGACTGCTCGCCGCGCTTCATGTGACTAGTATTATTATTTCACTATAAAAAACATGCGAGTTTTTTTATACACATTATTGAACCTCTTTCTAGTATTTATCTTTTTTCTACAATAAATATATATATATATATATATATATATTAACATATATATTTAGATTATGTAATTATGTGAATCTGTTAAATATAAATATCATCATGACGAGTCATTACATAAAGAATTATTAAAATGATCGCTATTAAGCTTAAACAATATCAATAAAAATAACTAATGATATTACCATTATTTTGCCATGCATAATTAATTATATGTTTTAAGAGTTATATTATTGAAAGAGATGTGATTCTTAATTTCTTATTACAGTAGAAAATAAAAAATATGAAAACCAAATTAAAATTTAGTCTACAAAAAATGTCTCTGATAAATTATTTAAATAAATTATAATATTTGATTTTTTTTTTACTTTTCAATCATAATCTCAGTAAAACATTATCTCAGTTACTTACAATTGACTATATTTAATAAACAATACTTTCATTAAAAAATATTTTTAACATATTTTTACACTTTTAAAATATATATTTTTTTCATATTTGAATTATCTCGTGCAATCCACATGTATTAGGATATAACATTAAATCTAACATGCATGGTGCATGAGAAAAAAAATGCATGGTGCAACTACAAGTAAAATTATTATTATTTATTTAGAAGAAAAGGTTAAAAATTCACTTTCGTTTTCTCCACTTTTTTTTATTATAAACAAAAAATTTAATATTCCATCTTTGCGTGCTTGAAGTCAATTTTAATATAGTTTCTTTAAGTATATAAGTCTAACGTGTTTTCACAAAGAATATATTCAAGTATTCACGTTGTTTATTTTGTTGGGTACAGGAAATATATTCGTACTTCGTTTTTTGGTAAAGAATATATGCACACTATGAATGGTGATATTTAAATTAACAGAATCATCAAAAGCAAGAATAACATCTAGAAGTTGTAATGGATAACTTTATTGATGACTTTAAATTTTTTTTATTTATTGTTATGTGACTTTTAAAATAATTATTTTAACCATATATAAATTTATCATACATAACAATTTATAATTAAATAAAAATATATAAAAAAAATATTTTTAGTACATGTATTATTTATTCGTTGTTAAATAATCAGTGTGAATACTTAATTTTATCCAAACTACTCAATAAATAAAAGCATATAGTAAAATATTATGTATTATAGTATGGAAGAAATTATTTATTATTTTTATAATTATTGTTTTTTTGAAAATAATTATGTATGATGTTTTAAGGTGTGGTTGAGAGATTTTGGAAGTTAAAGAACTCTTGAAGAATTTTTAGGTATTTTAAAGGATTTTTTTAGGTAGAAGTTTAGTTTGACCTTGAGAGAAGAAATATATATAAATTTTTTTGAAATTTGAGTCTCATAAACTCGTTTATCAAAAAACCTATAAAGATAAATTAGAGAGAGAAACTTTGAAGTTCTGACTTCCTCATCTTCTACTTTCTAGACTTTTGGGGTGTATAGGATCATCATTGATCAATTGAGTTAGTGATTCAAGGATGTTGAAGCTAAGAATCAGTGATGGTGTAGAGTCTTAGTGTTCTTGTAGTTTGATTTAATTAAAATCCATGGGTAATATTCGTCAGAATTGTTTATGTTTCAGACGGACACATTCATAAATAAAAAAACTGTCAGTAATGTCATTTTTCATACGGATATTTATCTGTGGAAAAAAGTTCATCGGTAATGAGTTTTTTTTTTTGTAGTGTTAACTGACGACATTTGAAAAACCAAAAGATAGGATTGATATCCCAATTTAGCTGTCAATCTAGCAAGCGTGTAAGGCATGAAAATGATCGAATTGGTTCAATAGAGTCAGGCCACTTTGACTGTTCATCTTGGTGTATGAGATCTTCATAAGTGAAAGTATAATGACTCATTAGTTAAGGTGTATTCATATGATATGGTGTGATGTGTTTGTTGTTCATATGTTTTGGTGATTATGTTGTTAAATAACATGGTTGCAATGTAAGTTTAAATTGCTAGAGTTGTTTGCCTTTCAAACTTTGTTGATGTCATATTGAGTGTTTATGATGTGAACCATGGGATGCATGTTAGGTGGTTTGCATTTTGGCGTTTGTAGTATAGTGTATTTCATCTATACTTGTTTTATGTTGATTCTTTTGAAATCTAGCTAATCCTTACATGTTTCATGGTGATTGGATTGCAATGGTCATATTTACATGGAGGCAAAACAAGGTTAGCTGGAGGTGGGCGAGAGCTTTGGTGAACCATGTTGTTGGTATTGTAACCCTTGGCTACTTCTATTTATTTTGTTGTTGCTACTTGACTAGCACCTTGGGTCATATAATATACTTTTGGATTATTATATATACATATGTACTTGTTCATATTTTTAGTCTCTTTCACAAAACTCCATTTATATATGTGTGTGTATGTGTGTATAATTTATTACAATATTTTTCAAAATCTATAACTATGTGAACCTTAAGTAAGAATAGTATTTTTTGTTACTAGTAAATGATTCCGTTAAGTTTAAGGATCATGACATATTACATTTATCAAAATTATTTCTCTTGTATGGAAGAAGCAAAACAAACCAGGCAAGCAAGAGTTCAAATAATTTATAACTTGATTTTACCAAACACAATGTTAACTGTAATACATGTAAGATTTTAAATTTTTTTAGCCTAATTCATTAATCAATATATTTATCCTAAAAATTTCACTAAATTGACTATAACCATTCAAGATTCCCGAAACGTGACAAACGATACACACATATCCGCACCTGTAAAGATTATCCGTCGCACGCCAAACAGCACCCAACTCACCAAGTTCATTTTCCTTTCCATTGTGTGCTTTCTTTTCCTAGCGACAATAACAACACACTACTATAATCTCTTGCTGATATTCATAAGTAATGATATTTCTTTATATAAGATTCTCCTATTATTTCTTAATGAAGGTATCTATATATGATCAGAAATCCTATACTCACATGTGACAATCTATATAACGAAAAATTCATGTTCAATTTCTATCACGTAAAAACTTTTGAACTAGCTACGATCACAGTATGAAGAGTAGAATCAACCTCTAGTCTGTTGGGATAGGGAATATCCATAATACAACAAAAAAAAATCCTTATAATAAGTTTCCTTATTTGAAATCACAATTTCAAAATTATATTAAAAATATACTTAAATATACCATAAGCTCCTAAAATATTACAAATTAATATTTGAAAAATAAATTTCAAATAAAATTATAATAAATTTTGTAACTTTTTTATAAAAAAAATCCATCTTAAAAATCCAGAAACCGCATTACAATTTTATAAAATACAAGAATCCTTGGTAAAATATAGATTTTGAAACAAACATATTAGTAGCTTTCCCACTAGAACAATAGTAAGATTAGAAGTATTTATTCATGCACTACCATAATCTAAACTTTTATGCAACCTAAAAAGAAGAGTGGACTTATATCTTATTTAAACTTATAACATAAACACTTGTGTAAGTATTTGAAGAAACTTGTAACATAAGTTGCAACATATCAATTTATCCATAAGTTATTTCCAATTTATCTCAATAATTTCTTTAAACTAATTTATGAAAATAACTTACAAGTTATATAAAAAGTGAATACAATTTAATTGCATTTGTTATTTGTTATATGATGATTACAAAAATAACTTCTAAGTAAGGGTTTGCATGATAAACATTTATTCAATAAGCGCTTAAATTGTTTACCCATATGTAAATCCTAGCACCCGTAAGGAGCCGAAGTCACAACTGAAATGCTAAATTCATTTTCCGGTCTTATGAGCAATTACAAGTTATGAGTATTAGGTAAATCTATACAAGTCTTTTCTAGTTTATTACTTTATTAATTTTCTTTTTGGGACAGGAGAAGGAGAGGACTTTACATACTGTGTATATTTGGATTATAGATTCAAAACGAATTCTTTATCTGGAAATCAAATATGTGAAAACTTACTTAAAAACACATTAATTGGTATTTCAACATGATGTGGAGAATCCAACGTAAACCAAATAAATATAAACTAAGCTTCAACAACCAACAGAAAACTTTCAATCTGCTTGGAACATCATTGGATAAAACATAATCTGCTACATTTGTTACAAGTCTGAAATACATAGCTAGATTCACAAATATAAAGTAGCTGGGCCGAGTGATTGTTGATTCAATTATTATAGTATAATTGCTAAGTAACAAACTTAGAATAGATGTTGTAAAAGCACAAACAAAAGTAGAGTCGAAGCCATCAGAAAAACAAGCTAGCCCAAGCTGCTATAAATGCAAAGCCGCCAAACGGAGCCAAGGTTGAATATTTTCTGTCTTCAAGCAACGCGACAGTATAACACCTAAAAATTCAACATTTCCTTCAATATCATAAAGATGAATACAGCTTAATGATCATACTAATTTTGACCAATATTTCCTAGCAAAAACCAGAGCATGCAGCTACACAATATTGTTACAGGCTAGTTTAGTTTATTGGACAAAGGTTGTATTATATGCAACAGCTGCAAATAACAAAGACCACATTGAACCATCTGACACCAGATACTTCAAAATTTGACACACCATGAAAAACCTCAGTATCATGTTTTTGGTCTCCTACAAAAATTCAAAGCATAAATTATTCTTCTGCTCAAGAATGAACAAGTTAAAAACCATCCAATCTGTTTATCAAATAAGAACACAAGCTACACAACTATTGAATACAAAGCATGAAATTAAATGCTTCAAACAATGGGAATTGGATTACCTCCCAAGAGGATATTGAAAGTCAGATTACAGATAATTATGCTAATATTTTTCCAAACTTCAATCCACAAATAATTCTCACACTGATCTGTGTATTTCTTGACTGAGACTCACCAATCACAAATAGGGAGCGGAGCATTGAAATCTCCTAGACCTGTTTTGCAAACAGCATTACCAATTCCATTCTTCAGTATGGGCAGTCAAAAACCCAGATTGCTAGTTTTGCATTTTTCTTTTCCCACTAAATTGACATGCCTTAAGAATCTAAGAACATACAACCATCACCAACCTAACTTTGTTGAGGTTTATAGGTTCCTAAGTTCCTGTCATAATATTTAGCCCTGAGGTTAACCATCGCTTGATTAGCATCCCTAACTCTGAAATTGGCAATTTAATTTTCAGAGTTTGGACCAAGGTCTTGATTCAGTAAAGAGCAGTTATATCTGATTCCATCATTAACATGAATAACTTAGTTCTCCCTTCAGTTTCGAGGACAAAATTATGCAGCAGTACCCTTCCCATGTTGACCTATGGAAACAAGTCATTTGGTATCTTAACCAACCCCAAGATGCATAATTTTTTTTCCAATGGAGGATTCCTTGAACTAATACTTCAGCCAATATCCATGATACCTAATTAGCTTTTATTTATGCCACCAAGATAATGAAATAAACTCTTCATCTTCATCATAAATGTTGCAATTGATATTATATATGCCCACATTTTTTAATTTTTCAATCCGCCCTCCCTCAAAAATAAATAAATAAAACTTTGGAATTAGTTCCAAAATAAGCATGACAAATAGTTAGAGATAGCACTTACGTCCCAGAGAAAGCCAAGATCCCAGTTGTTAGAAGGCCTCCAAACTGGGAAAAAAAGAAAATGACTTGAGTGAGCATATAACAATAAGAGGAGCAAAAAGGGGAATGGGAACTTACAACATTGGGGTTCTTTGTAATTGGGGCGGCGACTAAGGCAGCGGTGTGAACCAAATGGTAAAGCGATGCTGTGTGCCAAACCTTAAATAATAAAAGAAGGTTAATTTATGATATGAATTATGAAGTGAGAAGAGAAGGCATTAAAAATTAAGCTGGAGAAGGGTACATCTTTGTAAGCAGGGTTTTGGGGCTTGAAGACGTGGGCACCATAGGTTCCCAATCCAAGTGCTGCCACTCCTGTTCAAGTTTCAAGACAAGTGTATGAATTAAGATGAAAGAGTGAAGACAACTGCGACTAAGGGATTGTACCTGAAATCGCTGCAACTTTGTGCCAAACCTGAGGATTCATCCACATTTTCGGCTTTACACTGCAAACCAAACCAAACCAAACCAAACCAAACTACAGTTATGTACAAGGAAATAGATATCTTGATCTCTAAGAAGTTGGTTAGTGCAAATTAATCTATCAAATTAAAGAATATTAAATAAGTACATAAATTTATCTTTTAATTTTTTTGTTATTAGTTAATAACAACGTAATATACTTCTAGAAATATCGTACTAGCAATAAATGATTTGTAAAACTATATCACTTCATTAATAAATGATGATATCAATTACTAGTATTTGTAAAACTTTAAATTTATAAACACTGAAATTTTGATCCTATAAATGAAAAAGAAAAATATTAGTTACACTATTTCTAGTATTTTTCTTTTTATAAATGACTGAAAATTATTAAAAATAATCTATTTATCAATCAATAATAAATAGATTATTAGAAAATATGGCAAGAATTTCTCAAACGAAAGTATAAGGATTGAAAAAGGAAAGGGAAAAAAAGGTGGAAGAAACATCTATCTTACATTTGGTTGTTTACTGTGTGTTCGGTGTAGATAATTCAGGGGTGGGAGAGAAGTGAAGAAACAAGAGGTTACCGTTGTTAGTAAAAGGCAATTTTTTTGTTTTTCTACATAAGCAATTTGAAAAGAGAATAATAAAAAAAAATGAGACAAATTTTTTATAAATTAAAATTAACTTATTACATAAGTCATTTTTATAGAATGTTCTCTCAAATTAATTTATTTAAACTTTTTATTTCTAATTCATGTATATACTAATTTTACTTTATAAAAAAGTTTATTTCAACATTTTTTCTCATTTTCTTACTTATAAGTATTTCTTGAAAAACTTATTATAGCACGTGCTTAAAAATGGATTTTTTAAATTTTAAATAAGGTCCACATTAAAATTCCTAAAAGAATTGAGAAACAAATTCAGTTTTCCTATTTCATTTCATTAATTTAAATTAATATATAAAATAATTTTATAATTATCTGACAATTTAAATTAATGAAACAAAGTATTAAATGATTATTAAATTTTTTAAAAAATTTACAAATAATTTAATAGTTTTTTTTTGAAGCAAATATAATTTAATAGTTAGATAATTAAAATTTAATATAAAACATAAGTTATTAAACAAAATAAATCTAAATAATTACTTCTAAAGTAAACGGATTTCTTCTTATTCATACATACACACACACACATATATATAGGAGGGTTTAAACGATACCGTTGTAACTTTTACTAAGTGTTACACTGCTTAATAACTTTATATTAAATATGAATTTTGTAAATCCAACCGTTAGATTGAAAGTTCTTTACTCTTAGATCATATATACAAAATTTTATATTAATCTAAAATAATTTGATACTTCATTCTTATAAAACAAAATTGACGTAATATATTTATTTCAAAATATAGTCAAATATGAATACTTTGATTGCCCTCAAGTTGTTATTCGATTTTAACAAAATTTGATATACACATATAAAGTGATATGAATTTTCAATCTAACGGTTGGATTTACAAAATTCACATTTATATCCTCATATATATATATATATATATATATATATATATATA